ATAGTATGTAGTACAGTTAATTTCATGCGATTATGATTTAATACTGCATCTGTACATTTATTTACATTTCTCTAGACTGCGAATGGCACCATGTACAGTTTGTACATGTATGCGAAAGTTTGATGAATTTTAACTTTTTTTAAAAAAATAATTTACTTTCTTTTGGGCTTATTGAAGAATTTTAACTTTTTATAATAATTTTTTGTATTTTATGATAGTAAATGATGAAATAGACTAGTATCTACATTCATTTTATGCATTCACGACATACCCAACTTTAATTTTTTTGATATTTCTAGGCTATGTTTGTCTGCAAGTTTTTTCAAATTGTTGAAAATCTCCAAAAATTTTTCCAATATATATTTACTGAAAAAAATCTGTGAATAAGTGGGCCCACACAGTTTAAGCCCATGTTGTTCAAGGGTCAACCGTACAGAGAAACCTAAACTCCATCCACATACTATCTCGCCTTGATATTATAAAAGGAAAGATAAGAAAATACCAGAGAGCCATTAAAGAAGTGATTACACCACACTGAACCTTTCTTTTCCTTTTTCTTTTTTTTAACCTTGATCATTGTATGGTGAACTTTTCCTTTTGACATAAAAAGAAGGATTAGAAGATCTTGGAGAGAGAACATGTCACAGTGTTCCAAGAATGGGGACTATGGTATGGGTGGGCCTCATGGAAGTGGAGCGGGTTAATGGAAAGTTGTTAGGAACTGAGGTGGCCTTCTCTGGACATCTATGGATTGCCTTCCACGATATTCCTGCTTCCCCCCACTTGTCTACTGAGTTTCTCTCTACCAACGTGGTACTAGTTGGTTCCAAGTGACAGATTTTGATTTCAGTTCCCTTGGCTAACTGGCTCAGCCTCTCCATCCCCCAATTGCATTGGCCTGGCTAATTTTTCCAAGTCAGGCCCTGTAATACCTAGGTCCTGGGCTAATCTGTGACAGTCCCCCACTCCTACCCCAATCCAATCAGCAATGGCTAAGGTGAACAGAGTCACATAGTGTAGAACATGTACATTTAGGGCAGACATCGTGATGTAAGGTTGTTACAGGACAGATACTAGTATGCATCATTCAACAACTATTGAGTGTCTGCTGTGTGCAAGCCACTATTGTAGGAATAGGGACTATAACTATATTAACAAGATTGGCAAGGTCCCTGCAAACTTTTGGAGGGGGATGAGCTTTAAACAAGAAAATAATAAAATCACAGACTGTGTTAAGTACTAGGAAGGAAATGAAGAGAGTGATGTGATCATTACTGGATTGAAGGCATGAGAGATTGCTTATAATGGGCTGGCACAGAAGCCTTTCTGTGGAAATGCCCTTTGAGCTGAGACCTGCGAGGGAAATATAAAGGCTTTGAGGTGGGAAAGAACTTGGCATGTTGGAGGGGGAAAAAAAGGAGCCAGCTGAGCAGAAGGAATAAGAGGCAAAGTGATGAGTTGAAGTTGGAGAAGTAGGCCAGATTTTGCAACACTTTGTGGACCACAGTAAGAGGGATGCTAACCAGACTCTCACAAGGCCTAGAACATTAGCACACACAGAAGATATGAAGAATCTGAAAATGGGGAAGAATGGCAAGACAACTGTAAGAGGGCGAGTGGGAGCTTTAGGTGTCATTGAGAATGTCACATTCCTGAGAATGACTTATATTATAGTACTACTTAAGTTTAGGGACATTGCTTACCTTATCAATGTAATCAATGACAAATGACTACTAAGCAGTAGTTTGTGATCCCAATGATAGAGCCTCTTAGTATTATGTAACGAAGATGCTATACAGAAAGAAAATAACATTTATTTACCATGTCATCATATTATCTTATATCCTTATGACAACTTTGTGAGCTAGGTTTTATTATTCTTTTCCAGGTCAGAAAATCAAAGATCGGAGAAATTAAGAAACATGCTAAAGGCACCAACTACTAAGTGGCTAGCCTGAAATTTGAAAGCATGTGTTGGATCTTCCTTCCCTTACCCTGGATGACACCTTGGGCAAATCTCCTGAATCTCTTTTATGTTACTTTGTAATGATTAAAAGTCCAGTCCAGCCCAAACCAAAACTTCAATTTCACATCTAATTTAAAGCTTCTCCGGTTCTCTGTCAGGCAGTTGAAAATTTGTGTTTAGTCTGCACTTGTGCTCTTTTTGTTCTCCTTCCCTTTTACTCTGCTGTTTCTAGGTCTCTTCCAAGGTGAGGGAGTTTGGGGGAGGTCAGAGAAGTAGGAGGGATTATAAGAAAAGAGGTGGCCAGGCGCGGTGGCTCACGCCTGTAATCCTAGCTCTCTGGGAGGCCGAGGCGGGCGGATTGTTTGAGCTCAGGAGTTTGAGACCAGCCTGAGCAAGAGCGAGACCCCCGTCTCTACTAAAATAGAAAGAAATTAATTGGACAACTAAAAATATATAGAAAAAATTAGCCGGGCATGGTGGCACATGCCTGTAGTCCTAGCTACTGGGAGGCTGAGGCAGGAGGATTGCTTGAGCCCAGGAGTTTGAGGTTGCTGTGAGCTAGGCTGACACCACGGCACTCTAGCCCGGGCAAAAGAGTGAGACTCTGTCTCAAAAAAAAAAAAAAAAAAGAAAAGAGGTAAAGGTCTCTTACATAACTGATGACATCAGAGGCAGAGACCTAGGTACTGGTTCTTTCTTGTTGGGAGCATTTATGGGTTCTTTAGAGGCTCTACCTATGGACCTGAAGATCCCCCTTCAGTGACTGCCTCCGAAGTCCACACTTCCAGACCCTTATTACTGGGTCTCCTCACTCTAGCAGGTGACCCCATCGAGTAGGTCCCTTCAAGAATGTCCTGAATAATCTATCTATTCAACATCTGCTTGGTCCATAAGAATCTTGCCGTACCACACACAGGTAGTGGAGGCTGCCCCATTGCTGCCCTTTCTCATTGTCTTATTGTAGAGAGAGTGTGCCAGCCATCTTCCCTAATTCAGAATTCTGCAGACCAGAAGTGGGTTACCATCTTCATAAATGTGCATGAAGGACCCAAATTCCTGGAGAGATATGTCTGGTTCACCTCAAAACTCTCACTATGGGCCAGGTACAGTGGCTCACACCTGTAATCCTAGCACTTTGGGAGGCTGAGGTGGGAGGATTGCTTGAGGCCAGGAGTTTGAAAATAGCCTGAGCAAGAGTGAGACCCTGTTACTACAAAAAAATAGAAAAATTAGCTGGGCAGGGTGGCTTGCCTATACTCCTAGCTGGTCGGGAGGCTGAGGCAGGAGGATCTCTTGATGCCACTGCACTCTAGCCCGTGGGACAGAGTGAGACCCTGTCATAAACAAACAACAACAACAAAAAACTCTCACCATGGTGGTTGCACAGAGAAGCAAGACTTACCAGCTTGGGAGAAAGATCTGGCAGGCACTCCTAATCTTTTGTAGTATCCCCTCTTTGTAGTGAGGTGAGCACTCTATCTTCTATAATTTCTTTTAATGAATTTCTTTTGAATTTTTATGTCTCCCTGATTGAACCTGGAGGTAGAGAACGGTTAAAAGACTGGTCTAGTCACTTCTTAGCAAGTTCTTTGGAGAGTTAACTGGTAACTCTTCTTTAGAAGGTGGAGATACTTATGCCTTGTTGTTCTCAGTTTTGGAGTTTTATAGCCCATTAACAGTTTGGCACAGGATCTTACTTGCACACCAGATTGAGAAGGGAGGAATGCCTTTTTTGAGCAAAGAAAGGTTCAGTCTTACACTGAGATTCACGGACTATAAAAGTTGGGAGAAATTTAGAAGCCATTTAATCCAACTCCCCATCAAAGTCATGAATTCTGTTTACAACAACCTGATGAGATGTTACCCAGTTTTCATTTGAACACACCAGGAATTAGGAAGGCATTCCCTAACCCTCAGAACTCAGCTCTGTCAATCACTATTTGAGCTTCACCAAATCACTTAAACTCCCTCAGCTTCCTCATCTGTTAAAGAGGAGTAAAAAATATCTTTACAGAACATTGTTGGGAGGATAAAAGGAGATCGATATATACATTGCCTAATCCAGCACAGAGGAGTGCAATGTTGGTTCCCTTTACAGGTCCTTTAAGGGACAGTATATTTCATTTTTGGAATTGTCATCACCTAGGGAAAGATCTTCCTTACATTGACCTGTCTCTGTACAGTTTTAGCACCTTCCTTAAGTTTAACCCTAAATGGTCACATAGATTGTCTTTTTTCTTTCCACATGGCATCCTCACAGATATCTGTGATTTTACTTGAAGGAACTGGAGATACTGGAAATATGATTTTTTCTTTTTTTGAGCTGGGGAGCTGGGGTGAGTCTTTTGTGTGACTCCCAAGAGGTATGTATTCAATGAATGGGACAAAGATGATATTTCATTTTATAACGTTCAACGCGTTGTCTCAAGATTGAATGGGCTGCTTGGGAAAGACAGTTTTCTCTGATACTGGTAGCTTTATCAGGCTGGCTGTAGAATTCAAGCCTGAAAAGAGTGTGTGTTTGTGCGTGTGTCACGCAAGCGCTGTTAGAGACTTGAACGTATTTGAATAGTGCCATTCTTTGTCAGCTACATAGCGAGCACTTTGTAAGGTCACTTATTGCCCTGAATGAATGGTTAAACGTGGAAGCTACAAAGCAAGCCAAACAGCTTTCTTTTCTTTTCTTTTTTTTTCCCCCTTATCCCCATTTTACAGCTGACAAAGAGCTTTCATTGAATACCTACCTGAGTACTCAAAAACTCCTTTCAAGGGTGAACAAGGGGAGTCGAAATTAAGAAGCCTCTTTTGAGGTGGGTGGGGACTAACCTTGGGCTCCAGTGCTTGGGCACCGCCTCTTTTCCTCGCGGGCGGGCCGCTAGGCGGTGCTGAGGAGCTTGCAGCCCACCTGCGAAGCGCTCCTGTTCCCCCTCACCCCTCAGCCCCCTCCCAGCCGAGAGACTACAACTCCCGGAGTGCTCTGGGAACGGAGGCGCAGGGGCCACAGCGGGGAGGGACGCGAGGGCGGGCCTTCCGGGTATGTGTTTCCGGCGTCGACGGCCGTGGCCGGGGACGGTGTGAGAGCGGTAAGATGGCGGCGGCGGCGGTGGTGGAGTTCCAGAGAGCCCAGTCTCTACTCAGCACTGACCGGGAGGCCTCCATCGACATCCTCCACTCCATCGGTAAAGGTCGCCGCGCCACCTTCCTGGCCCCGCTGGCTCAGCTCGGCTTATGTCGGTCGGCGGCAGCAGAGAGGGGCCGGGCTAGCCGGCTCTGCTGCTGCTGACTCACTGTGTGTGAGGGGGGCCGGGCTGGGGGCACAGGCCGCTTGGAGCTCCTTGGAGCCCCCTGGGTCACCCTCTGATGGGAAGCCCCGAGGCAACCGCTGTGTCCACTCGCCGGGTGCTGACTCACAGTGGGATCAGCGTGGGGTGGGAGAGTGGGCCGAGCCGGGGCCACCACCCCTCCCCAGCCTTGTCCCTCGCTCTGGCCCGCAGGAGCTGGCCGGGACCCGAGAGCAGTGCCTGCCGGCAGACTTAATACAAACTGGTCTGAGAGTCTCTAGTTGAACAGCCCTGGCGAAACCCGCTCAGGATAGGCATTTCCCGCCGTTGTTATCAGCACAGCCTGCTTGGGGTGGGAGCGCGAGCGCTCGCTCTTCTCTTGGAGTTTCCTTCCACGGGACACAGGGAGCTGCTCCTTCTCCTCAGCCCCCAGCGGAAGGCTCCACTAAAGGAGGGCCGCTTTCTGAATTTGGGAAATTCGGAGGTGACACACACTTTAGATTGGCATTTGGTTTGAAAAGGTGGCCGAGACGTTACTCTGCCCCTTGTAGAGTGTAAGAGTTAGGGGTTGGGCTGGGACTGCCCGGCTATAGGAGGTGACTAATCGTTCCAGTCTCCCCTGTAGAGGTGTTGGAAGTGAGTTTAGGGAGTTAGTTGTCAGTCCGCGGAGTTCTGGGAACTCTTTGGGACCAGCTGGCTGCACATTGCCGGAGAAAATTAAAGAAAATTTTTTTAACACTGTAGTATGGTTGCCTTATACCTGCACACAACAAGAAGTGGGAGTCCCAGCCAGTCTCTTCCGACAGCTTTCTGCTGGGATTCAGGCTTGAATAGAAATAAATGTATGATGACAAGAGAAGGATTTTAATGTTCATTCATAAAGGATTCGGTTAGAGCATGGGCGAGCTGTTCACAAGTAGTAATGTGATCTTTTTAATGTAGTTTGAGAAGATTTGAATTGTATCAACAAGTAGTGTGAGACTGCACCTGTATCCACTTCCAGGATGTTGACATTTATGTTGACTTACTTAGTCTGTTGAATTTTGGTACTCCAGAGAAAAGACAATGACAAGATATTGGTGTCTTTACCATTGGGAATAGTAGGGAAGAAGAGGCGGCAGGGGTCAAGATGCATCTTTGAGTGAATGATAATTGGTAAAGGGTGTTTCATTTTGAAGTTCTGATCTTACTAAGTCAGTTACATTTACAGAATCAGAGTCATCTCAATCACTGTTACATATATATATTTTATTCTGAGTACATACTGATATTTAGAACTAATGTGAGAAGCATGAATTTTATTTTTTTGTGCCTAGAGCCTAATATTTTGTTTTTCATAAAGTAGAAATTACATTAAACATTAATACAATTAGAATATTTCTTGCTTGCCCACTATACTGGGAGAGAGTTCCTGAAAGCTTCTCTGTTAGAGCAAGCTTGAGTCAGGATGGTTGACAGCTTTAACTTTTTCGGGAGTCCATGATGGAGTATCAGAATCTTGGTTTTTGTCAAGTCATGATGCTTTGCAAGAGAGGCAGTAACTAGTGATGATCACTGAAATTATCACTACCAACTTAGAGAGGCTATTCAATGTTCAAATGTTAGAATAGTTATTAACAGTTGAAAGTGGGACAGATAGCACAAAGTTATTTTAACAGGACCTGAATCCATTATAAAGCAGCAGTGTCTCTTAAGTGTAACTGTTCAGGATCACATCGGGGCTTTGATAGGGTTGTTTTTCCTGCATGGCTTTATAGAACTGCTTATCCCTAACACACCCTGCTGAGACTTTGCACAGACCTAAAGTTTATTGAAAGGCTTTTGACATTACAGTCATCAGCAGCTTGGTCATTTGATTTTAGTTTGTGGCAGGTAAATGCATTAGCATGTTTAATATCTTCATGTAACATAGTGACTGGCATGGGTCTTAGTGCGGTAAGTATGAAGGACATGTTTTGTTTCAATTTTGCTTTAACGAAGTGATTGCAACAGAAATGCAGTATATATGTGGGCAAGCAAAATTCTGATGGATAGAATGAAAAGACACATTTGAAATCAGAGAGGAATCTATTTTATGATTTACATGGGACATGTCCTACATATACATGACCATTTTATTTTTTCTTGTTCAGAGATTTTTTTTTTTAAAGCTCTTTAGAATTTTGTCTTTTGGTGCATATGTTTGGGTTTGTAATGGGTCTTGTAAGAGTGAAATTTCCCTCGGTCTTCATTTTTTTGTCAGAATTTTAAGAGGGTTTGCATTTTCCTCTCCCAGTGAAGCGTGACATTCAGGAAAACGATGAGGAGGCAGTGCAGGTCAAAGAGCAGAGCATCCTGGAACTGGGGTCTCTTCTGGCAAAGACTGGACAAGCTGCAGGTAAGTGCTACAAATGTATTGTACCTGAAATGCTGGATGAGGTTACTGTTTTTTTTTGGAGTGAAGGAACATGGGACTGCCTCCACACACTCGGTTCATTGATGTTATAGTTCAGTTTTATTTTCTTGGCAACTTGTTGAGCTTCAGTTTTTCAGCAGGAAGTTAAGTGACCTTTAAACTCAGTTCTTTCATGGAAGAGTTTTGTTCTGCAAATGAGGGAAAATTGTATTTTTGTTGGGATATAGTGATCTGTGATTCTGGGTTTTGAATTTTCACTGTATTCCCTTATGCACAGGTAGCAGCAGTCTTCAGTGATTTTGCTGAGCAGCTTTGATGTATTTAGGGTAGATAAGTGACTTTAGGCCCATAATTTGAAAATGACTAGGGATTTTACATCCAAGTGACTCACTGTTCTTTTTTTCTGATACAGAATGAGTAAGACATTAAATGGAGCTTTCCCAAGACTTCTCCACTGCTACCTAGGACTTTGTATATATCATTGCCCAGACATTCTAGTTGTAATTGAACCATTGACTGGCTGGGCTCTAGATGATATTCTGATGATGGGTGTGTCCATGGAATGAGGAGGGAGTCCTGTTAAACAGGAAGGACTTTTCACCAATAAAGTGGTAATAGTATTTAGAGAGAAGTCTCCTAAAACTTAAAATGGGTGATTTCTGTCAACTTCAAAGTGAATTTGGAGCTTATTTGATTAGAATGCATTAAGCTCTGATAAGTAACCTCGTGAATTACTTTTGCCCAAATTATGTTGTTACTCAAGAGAATGATGGGGATTAGTTAGCAAAACCTCTTGAATTTGGGAATTAAAGATCTTTTCCAGTTCAGGATAAGTAATTTATTGATTATTGGGCTCAATCAGTAGAAAGTTCAGTAATGATTACAAAATTGTGAGGATATGTTTACATGGGTCTTGTATCTTATTTAAAATAACATTTTTAAGTAGCCTTAAGACTAACTATACCTAAGGGTTTTTGAGTGCTAACTATGAACTAGTTATTCTTTTGAGTACATTACATGGTTTTAGCTTATTAAATCCTTAAAACAACTTAAAGTGGATACTCTTATCTGTTTTACACATGAGGAAACGGAGCACAGAGAAGTTAAAAAACTTACCTAAGCTCACTCAACTAGCAACTGGTAGAACCAAGATTTGAACCCACATAGTCCCACTTCAGAGCTCATAGCTTCATGGCATCATGGTTATTGCTTTTCTGTAGTCATCTATTTACAGATTATCACTGGTAGGTGATGGCTTTTTTATGATAGGCTGACTTCCCTGCTATTTGACATATGTATGGATTCCTTTTGCCTGTCAGTTAATTTGAGCTTAGGAGTTCCAAAACAGTTTTGATAATTAGTTCATGCAAAATATAATTAATAAGGTAATTTTTCCAAAAGAATTATAAAGCCAGGTGAAGTGATTTAAGATTTTTCTGTTGTTCAAATATCCAAATCTCTGCTTTCCTTCACTGACATGGATAATTAAAAACAATGTGTAGTATATAGTCATGCTTCAGTAATTTTCATCCAAAAATGCTATTGGCCTATTTTATGCTTATTCTCCCTTTATTTCTTATCCTCTCTGCCTTGTGACTCAATACATGAGAAGTTTAGGAGTATATTGCTACACCTGTTGGAATTTAATAGGTGAATTATAAGGACTTTCAAAAAGTTTTCCATGTTACTTATCATTGTCTTCTAAGAAAGTTTGATGAATGTAGGTATACACAATAGAAACCCTGAGGAAGTCTTGGAGCCTACGTTCATTTACTTACCTTTGCTTTTAATAATTGATAGGCTTGTATTGTTTGCTTTGATTTTGAGCTCCCTAAGGATGGAAAATATGGCCATTCCATTAATCTTCAGTTGGTTTTATTATGCATTTAATCTGTGTGTACCACTGTGCTAAGTACTCTACTCAAAAAGTTTAAGACCAAAAACAGTCACTTGGAAATAAAACAATGTCTGATGTGGAGTAGTGATTGAAAGTAGTTCCTAGCATCATCAGACATGATGCCTAGGCTCACCATTTGTACCCTTCATAGCTTGAAACTCTTAAAAGGAATCTGCTGAGTTCTGTGAACTTCTAACAGGGAAATTCTGGTGATATAATTGCAGAAGTCAGTATGATTTTATGGGAATTAAAAAAAATTAACATGTATGAAAATGGAAAGTAACAGGAAGTATAACCAAGAATGAATGTAAAACGGTAATAGACTAAAACAGAAAATGAGCTGAGTCTTTTGAAAAACGGCCACTAAGAGATTATTTGTTTCTCTGTTGGAGTAAGAGTAACACTCAGTGCTTAGAGAAAATATTGTAATGCTAGCAGGTGCTAGAGAGAAAGGCAGACTGCTTAGCTCATGTTTCGCTTCTGCCTTTTCTAGGAAGGAAAATGATTTTCAAACTGAAAAAGATAGAAATAACACCAGAGAGAGAATTAAAGCCAAGGTAGGTGAGAGAAGAGAGAGCAGATAGTCTATTTAAATAAGTTCAAGTCTCTGGGCTTTGACAATTTTTGTCTCTTAATATAAAAAAAATTCTAGCAGATATAATTATAGAGGCATTTATTATTCTTAGAAAAATCATGGAGGGTGGAGAGGTATAAGGAAACTGAGGATGGGCAAATGTTATTCTACCTTTCAAAAGGGTAATGAAAAGATTAGACCTAGGCACTACAAATGGTAATCAGCAGTAAAGTTCTGGGACAGATTATATGATAATCACATTTACATCACTTTTAATCACTTAAAACAGTGGGTTTATTATGAACAGATTATTCCAAACTCATCTTAGTTCTCTCTCTTTGGTTATCCTTATCAGACTGGTAGATTTACACTGGTGTGCCTGCCACTTGTTTTTGTAAATAAAGTTTTATTGGAACATGGCCATGCCTATTTGTTTCTATATTGTCTATGACTGCTTTTGTATTACAATGGCTGAGTTGATTACCTGCTACTAAGACCATATAATTTGAAAAGCCAAAAATATTTGCTGTCTGGCTCTTCACAGAAAAAGTTTGCCAGCTCCTGGATTAGAGGAATGACATAGACTACACATCTGATAAAAGCAGAATATTTGAACATTGGCCATAATATTAACATGACAGGTATAGGTTATGAACTTACATTGGGCTGAATAACTGTGTCTAAAACATGTTAATAAATGGATCATTTATCAATCTGGACAGCAGTCTCTATCATCATGTCATAGGGATTTGTCCTTGTTTTTCTGGTCAGCATCCGGCATCATGGTTAAAGCCATTTCAGAAGGCATGCTTATTTTTGTAGATGACTCAGTACAGTAGAGGACAGAATTAAGATTCACAGTTATTGCCAAAGCCAGGAAGATTGAATTCAGTTGTGATAAGTATAAAGTTATATAAAGTATTTTTCAAAACAGAGTAAGTTGGGAATTACCTGTTTTGACAGTGGTCTGTGCAAAAAAGACCTTAATAGACTCAGTCTGAACAAAGAGTGCTGTTGGAAAAATAAAACATGCTATCTTGTGTTACACATGGTGGCCAGATCAAGAGAATTAAGCCTCTTGCTCTACTGTCAGGCCTATCTGGTTTTTTGTTTTTGGTTCTTGGTACTGCAGCATATCACAAGTGGTACCTTTACAAAGTAGAGTTTGTTTAGAGGAGAGCAAATAATGTGATAAGTTATTCAGGAAATCAGGGACATTGGAGGAACAGTTGAAATAGCTAAAGATGTTTAGCTTGGAGAAAGGGAAAGTTAGGGAGACGTAAGTGATTTGTAAATATTTGAAGCAGTGTAGGAGGAGGTTTGGCCAACATTGGAATAGGTTGCCTTCTGAATATTTCTGTCACTATAAATTGTTCAGAATTGTTCAAGCATAGTAGGAAATGATATGGGAGAACTTTTTTTTTTTTTTTTTTGTCAGGGTCTCCTTCTATCACCTAGGCTGGAGATGGCACAGTCACAGTTCACTACAACTTTGCATTCCCAGGCTCAAGCGATCCTCTTGTCTCAGCCTCCTGAGTAGCTGGGACTGCAGACACGTGCCACTACACTCAGTTTTTTTTCTATTTTAATTTTTTGTAGAGATGAGGTCTTGCTGTGTTGCTCAGGCTGGTCAGGCTGGTCTTGAACTACTGGCCTCAAGTGATCCTCCCACCTTGGCCTCCCAAAGTGCTGGAATTACAGGCATAAGCCACCATGCCCAGCCTAGACTACTTTTAAAAAGCTATGATTACATAATATAATAGAAATAAATGCAAAAGGAAGTTGAGAGGGCAAAATCACTGTATACTGGAGTTAGCATGGAGGACTCAGTAGAACTTTAGCTGGACCTAAAAGGATATCTTAGATTTACATAGGTTGAGAAGATGGGAAGACATTTGACATGGGATTGTGGCATAAGTACGATTTGAAAGCAGGGGTGTACAGTCTATGCAGGTGTGAATGGGTGGCAGAATGGGAAAAAGTCTTAAACATTGGGAATCAAAGGGCAGTACAGGGAAGTAAAGGGAAAGATGAACTTTCCTGCTCTGTATAAAGTTCCTTAAGTACATGACACAGTCTCATGCATTTAGACTATTCAGGCAGATGAGGCTTTCAGAACCCTGAATTAGCATTCTCAGGAGGGTAAGGTTTGCTTGTCCTGAATTAGAGTTCTCTGGAGGGTAAGTCTGCAGTTGGAGAATATTAAAGAGGCAGTGGCCCTAAAGTAATTTTAACCTACATTCCAAAAAATACTTCCTTAGTTTAGATGAAACATTCTTTAATTTTTGCTGTTTGATAAGCACATCTCTAGTTTATTGTTTTAAGGTGGTCCCTCAGAGTTCCTGTACTGTCCTCTTCTGTAAGCGGGGAAGAGCTCTATGTTAGACACCTTTTTTGGTCATAGTTTAAGACTTAGGTGTAGAAGATTAATGAGAAATTTTAAAAGGATATAGCAGAACAGTAGGGCAGAACACCCAAACTAACGTAAAAAGTTTATTCAGAAGAGTGCCAGGGAAGTGATATTGCTGGAAGTTTACTGCGGGAGTACTGCAAGAAGAGAGGAAAAAGGGAACTTGCAATTGAAAACCTCTGTTTAAGGGGAATTGCTAAGGCAGACTTGGAAACTTAAAAAAAAAAAAAATTATTTCTATAACCTGATCATATTTGTTGGTTGTGAGGAAGTGATTTTGTCCAGGGTGGGCAGGGGCATAGCGTGTTTCATGTTCTAGCTAGAAAACTTTTTTGAGAGTATGAGTATTTTGCTGTTTATGCTTCATTAAAATGGATAAATAAAGCAGAGATAAGAGCTTTTCCCGGGCCTTCATAGTAGTTCAGTGGCTTAGTGGGGAATAGAATACAAATTTGGCATATGATGTTAACTTATTTTTGCTACTCTAGTACCTGCTGGGAATGCTTTAAACTAGTAAGTTTCATTTAGACTGATTCCAGTGATGTAAGTACTGATTTTTATGATCATGGGTCAATTTTTTAAATGGATATTTTATCCCTACTGTTGATATTTACTTTTTTTTTCCTGAATTAACCTTTCACACAGAGCTTGGAGGACTCCTGAAGTATGTACGACCCTTCTTGAATTCCATCAGCAAGGCTAAAGCAGCTCGTCTGGTCCGATCTCTTCTTGATCTGTTTCTTGATATGGAAGCAGCTACAGGGCAGGAGGTAAGCTATGTTAATGACAGAAAGTAGACAATATTGAAAAAAGTCTGTTTCAATGAAAGAAAAGCCTGCCTGCACTGTGGTACTAATGTGGAAGGGACAGCTCAGAGGACAGCTTAGGACTTATCATGTCAGTTTCTCTTTGTTGCAGGGCATTTGATACTTTGGGTCTGTTCCATGCTTTGCTTTGTAAGTGGAGATTGTCAGTGGTCCCTGGAATCCTCATTACATCAGGGTCACAAACTGATTCTTGTCTTTGAGGTATTGTATTGCCACACCTTTGTAATGTTTTCTGTGTCTGTGGTACCTTTCATCTTGTGTCACAAAGCTCCTTGTGAGCACTAATTAAGTCTTGTGGCATCCCTTCTCGGCGTGTTTTGTACTGCGTCTATGCCTTCATTGAGAGGTGAGCATCCATTTGTTTGTGTCTCATGTGTGCAGAAGTGACTGGTGTTCTTGTACATGTTTTCTACACGTTGAGACTAGACCCTGAACTGTACTGAAGAATGCCTCCCTGGAATCACTGAACCTTTTCCAACCTTTTCAAAGATAGCTGTATTTTCTCAATTCAGGAGCTGACACATACCAAAATTAAAAATCATTCTGTAAAAAGTGGCAGATTCAAGCAAGAAATATTACAGTTGTTTGAATCTGTTTGTAGGAAGAATATAGTTGTCTTCCCTGTGGATGTATTGATGAGTACTCATTAAGTGCCTGCTCTGTGTTAGGCACTGTTACAGGTACTGGGGATGCAGTTGTAAAAACACTGTCACTGCTGTCATAAGGATTATATTTTAACTAGGAAGGCGGACAATAAACAAATATATAAAATGTCAGATAATGTAAGGGTGAGGGTTGGAATTGCTAGTTGGCTATATGTCTGATTGTTTGCTGTGGCCTATGTGGGTGTACAGGTGAAAGGTATAAAAAGGCTATAGTAGCATATGGAGTAAATAGTGAGGAATTTGAGAAACCTAGGACACAGGGATCCTCATGTCTTTTATAACATTGGTTTCTTAATGATTTTTTGAAGCCTAGTTTAAACACCATAAACTAACTTCATTTGTAGAAAACTCATTTGTAGAGTGTTCTTCAAATTCATTTGTTTTTGGCAAAACTGTGTTTCATAATAGTAGATCAAAAATATTTAGATAGCAGCCGTGTGATTTTTATTAGGAGTATTAGTCTTATCTAACCCTTACTTTTTAAAATTATACTTTGTTCTCATGAAAGTGAAGCCATCTTTTGTTTGAAATAGGATCCTTAAAATAGACTGATCAATAACTGTTAGTTTTTTTTTTTCCCCTGAGACAGTCTCACTCTGTTGCCTGGACTAGAGTGCTGTGACATCAGCCTAGCTCACGGTAACCTCAAATTCCTGGGCTCAAACAATCCTTCTGCCTCAGCCTCCCAAGTAGCTGGGACTACAAGCATGCGCCACCATGCCTGGCTAATTTTTTTCTATATATTTTTAGTTATCCAGCTAATTTCTTTCTTTTTTTTTTTTTTTTTTTGGGTAGAGACGGGGTCTCTCTCTTGCTCAGGCTGGCCTTGAACTCCTGACCTTGAGCGATCCTCCCACGTCGGCCTCCCAGAGTGCTAGGATTATAGGCATGAGCCACCGTGCCTGCGGCCCAATAAATGTTAGTTTGAAATTGACTAATAAATGTTACTTGGAGGCAGAAAAATTAATTATGCAGGCTGCTTTTTTGCACACTGAAGTCTCTGAAATTTGCCCCTCCCCATAACATAGACCTGACTCAGTGGGTAGAACTGCATTTGTTTAATGATCATTTTTCCTATTCCTTTGTGGAAATCTATTCAAATCATAATTTATGTTCTCCTATAAGTGCCCAGTGGGATTTACTGGCCTTTGTTACATGGTTCCCTGTCTTGTTAGGCCCTCCCTTAACTGTGTTTGTACGTTGCTGTTTTCATTGCATGTTAAATTTTTGTCAACTAGAGACCTTTCTTCCTTTTCCTAGGGTGAAAGGAAGCACTCTTAGGCATTGTGTCATTTTATTGTCAATGTCATTCTAGTGTTAAGTAAGGACTATTTTTTTGATGATTAGCAATTTAGCATTAATCAAGAGCCAGCGTCTTTTTTTTGAGACAGAGTCTGGCTCTGTCACCCGGACTAGAGTGCAGTGGTGTCATCATAGCTCACTGCAACCTTGAACTCCTGGGCTCAAGGGATCCTCCTGCCTCAGCCTCCTGAGTAGCTAGGACTACATGTGTACACCACCACGCCTGGCTTATTTTTTCTATTTTTAGTAGAGACAGGGTCTCGCTCTTGCTCAGGCTGGTCTTAAACTGCTGACCTCAAGTGATCCTCCTGCTTTGGCCTCTCAGAGTGCTAGGATTACAGGTGTGAGCCACCGCGTCCAGCCAATAACCAGAGTCTTATACCATTAAGATAAGACTTCTTTTAATAATTTTTGTGGAGTATAGGTTATTTGCTTGTTTTGGAACAAATTTTGAATCATCCAGATTGTCTTACCTGCACCTTAAACTCAACATGACCAACCTCAACATCCAGTCATTTGTTAAATTCTGTCAGTTCAACTTTCTTCCTGTCTGCTTCTCCACCTCTTTTGTATTTGTTCTCTCTTTACAATTACCATCTAGTTTGGTTCTTAATTATTTCTTACTTGGACTACTGTAAAAGCTTCATTCCACCATTGTCATGGATATCTTACCAAGTAGCCCTCTGATCATTTTATTCCTCTCCTCCTCTCACAACTTGAGGCTTTCCATAGCTTGCAGAATTAGCTAATGAGTGGACTTCTGTGATACAACCTAGTACAGTAGTCTGATCTGCCGGTACTCTGCTAAGGATGTCAACCATGTCAGCCATGTTGGATCAATGGTTGGTAGTCGAACAAGCCCTGTGTGCTCCTCATGCTGTACCTTTCCCTTCCATGGTTCCATCTCAAGTTCTACCTCTTCTGAAATCTTTTCTTACTGACTTTAATGTGCTCTTAACTCTTTTAGTGACTCACATATTTTATACATGTTATATTTCTGATTATTCTGCCTTGTATGACAATGACATTTGCCTTGTCTTCTTTATTGTAATATAATCTTACTCAAGTGAAGCACTATATACCTTTCTCACAGGGCCTTCCCTATTCCCAGTACAGTTCCAGTTCCTTAACTGTAGCCACCTCTGACCACATCTACCATACTAGTCTCCCTTTTTACTTTCTTTACAGCTGTAATAGTGGCCTTTTGCCCTACACTTTAAACTCTTTTGGCCTTGGCTTTTGTATACATCTGGATTGCTCTCAACCTGATCTTAACATGGGCTTTTTCTTCACATTATTTCAAGTCTTTGCTCACATCTTACTTCCTCAGAGACCTTCCTTGATCACCCTATCTAAAATGCCTTATCTCTGCTTACTTTTCTTCGTATTTATTTTACTAGTTTAATGTCTGTTTCTTCCTTAGAATGTAAGTTTCATAAGATAGCTACTTTGTCCTCTTCACTATTGGATCCCTAGCACTTTGAGTAGTTTGTCCCAGAGAGCTACATGACTACTATTAATATTTGTTGAGGGAGTGTGTGAACTATGCCTTTCCCATGGTAGTTGCTCAGAAAATACTTTGTTGAATTGAGATCTAAGTTTATTGAGATGTAAGCATGGGGTGTTGTTTCTACATTTGTTTGAGTGCCTCAAGGTATCTGACTTGGGTAAATTGGATATAGTCTTCATTCTTGGTTATTTTAAAATTCTTTGATTGGGTGATGGGAAAGGATAGAGGAACAAGTCCTAAGTGAAGGACTGTCATGGTAGTATTGAGGCTGGAGGCAAAATAGGAAGTTTTAGAATATCGTTAAGAAAGCTAGAGTTTTGTTAAGGAGTTTGGTACCAAGAGTATGAGGGAGGGGATTTTCCTTGCCTTTTTCTGTTTGGGGACTAACCATAAATCAGATATATCTATATCTACAGAACAGTTTTCAGCTTGCTATATTCCCAAAGTTGATGTGATTCAGATTAGGATCTGGTCATTTGCAGTGCTAAGGTTTGGGGCCTAGAAACTGAGAGCATTATGTGTGGAGGAGTAGGAGGATGGGATGCTTAACAAGGGGAGAAGATTAGAAAAGTAGGGTGAAGAGGAGAGAACGAAGACTGAACCATATCTTTGCCAAATAGTGAACTGAACTTCTAGAATTAAGTTTACCTTCAAGGGATCTCTAAGGAGTTGCCTATAAGAAGCCGTTTTTTGGTGTAGTCTGCCTAACTGAAACACAGCAGCACATTTTAAGAAATCTTACATCAGAAATCATGTTGTCAAAACAATTGTTTCAAAGGAAAAATGGGGTTTGTGCTAGAGAATTTCAGATTTGGAATAATAGTTATTTTCCCTCTATAGGAATTTAGTTAATTTAAGGTTTGGTTTTTTTAAATGGTTAAATGTATTGTTTTAAATAAAACTTAAATATCTAATTTTGACCACATCAGGTTTTTGTACTTATTTAAGTAAGAGCCTTTCTCCAGAAGCATGGGCTCCTTGTATATTTTTATCTCCTTTATCAAGTCATTGTTAGCATTAACAAAGCACAAAGCCTTTCAGGCAAAATAGCTGTGTAGCAAGGGCAGTGCCTTTTAGAATTTCTTGGAACTGAGGTGCTGGTTTCACCAATTACAATTCTAGGTAATGTCAATCATGTACTCTGTAATTGATAACAGATATCTAGTGCATATTGTAAAGAATCCTTCCTCTAGGAGAAATGTCTGTGCTGACTTTAACTTAAGGCTGGGTTAAGATACAGAGAGCACTGGAGATAGGGATGAGTTCTGTATCCAGCAGCTGATATGTGACCTTGGGTGAGTCACTTAATATCTAGACTGTCAGGGAAATGGGGGCAGGTGAATTGCAAGGGTAGAATTTGGTGTTTCTTTATTAGGGATATACTTTAGAGCGGCCAAGCTTATATTTCAGACTACTGACTCAGGAGCCCAGGCATTCTTTTTTATGGGGGAGGGGGAGGGTATAAACTATTTATCGAAGTATAACTTATAGAGGAATATACCTAAGTCCCAAGCCTTCATTTTTGCATCGTTTGAAAAAGCTCCCTGGGTGAAACTGTAGGAGGCATCTCTTAGCCCCTGAGTCATGTAGTACTAAAGACTCGTGTATTTTCTTTGCTAAAACTATTCAGCAAAATATTTTCAATTCCATGTATGTCAGACATCTAACTTTGAGGTTAGCTTTTCAGAACAAAACTCAAAACTCTGAAATTGCGATTGGCTTGCTTTTATTTCAGTTTTTGGTTCTTAGTTTTGGTAGAATTATGAGGTCAGTTGAGTTTAGAGTTGGAGATTAGGTAGCCACCAGGGGGCTCCAAAGAGGAGTTTGTAAAGGTTTCATTGAATTTCTTACTGGTGAATGCTCCAAATAACATATAATGTCATCCATCAATTTATTTACTGAGCTTGAACTTAGGATCAAAAGGCAGAAGAGCTTGCTAACTTGAATTATGTCCCTTTAGTTTTCCCTCCTTACAGCATTTCTTACAAGAACTTTAATACATGTTGTATTAGCAGTTCTCTGGAAAGCTCAGTTTCTCATTTCATTTCTCTTTGTCTTATGCTCTGATTAGTAACCTTAACACAAAACTTGCAGTCACAGAATAAGATCTGCAGCATTTAATGTATACTCTGTCAAAGCTAATATGTCAAGGATACCTGATGGCATGCTTAGACCGTGTAGGATTGACCACTGCTTTAAATCAGTTCCTTTGCATGTTACATCACTGCTTCAGTGGCAGATAGAACTGGGGGTTCAGAGTGCCTTTAAATTAAAGCTTAAAATCCCTTTTAAATGTTAGGCTAATTCTAATTTCCTTTTACTCCCTGTAATACAAGCTAAGCTTACTGTATATGTTTGCTGTAAGAGCAGTGATGAATTGGTTAGTTGCACTGCTAGAATTTGAAAAGGAAAGAACTAACTGGACCTTTTGAGTCTTAAAGCAACTGTGAAGAACAAGGCATTTGTGCTTAGGTTGAGAATTTCTCCCCTCTATTACCTATGTATTCACAATAACATGTTACTATTTCAGGGAGAAATTTCTGCTTTAAAAATTCCTAAGCCATTGTAGAAATCTACATTCCAGGGCTATATTTGTTGCTGTAAGTTCTGGGTCTCTCCTGGGTAGGTAGAAGAGGAGTCTTGAAGGTGAAGCTATTTTCCTAAAGAACACTAAGCACAAACATATTTTATGTGTTAAAAGCCAAGTTGATTTTCTATAGCAATATAACCATTAAACATTGAGATACTATGGATCATACACTAAATAGAGCAAAAACAATAGTTTTTGCTCTATAGTAAGCAGGGAATATGTAAGGAGGGAATTAAAGCTGTTCTCCAAAGCATGGTTTGTGGAAAGAGTATGAGGACATAATGTTGCATGTACTGTCTCTCCCTGTTGCAGGTTGAGCTGTGTTTAGAGTGTATTGAATGGGCCAAATCAGAGAAAAGAACTTTCTTACGCCAAGCTTTGGAGGTATGTTCTACATTAGCACTAATTTCCGGTCTCTAGGCATTATTAGACAGACTGTGAATATAAATAATACCATCCTGGTCAAAAGTAGTTTCAGCTACTTTGTAATTACTCTGGTATCCAAAGATTATTGATCGTAGTCTCACTGGTTGAAGTTTTGAGATGGATCTGCTACTCAGAAATAAGCAGCAACAATGTAAAGTTAACAGTTGCTGGCTATAATAGGAGGCAACACTGTGGGCTCAATAATTTCTTTTGCTGAGTTTGATGCTATTGTCAGGACTTGTATATTCAACAGTGACAGTTCTGTGACTGTTAATCTTTGATTTCGTTCTGTGGCTTTTTTTTCCTCTTCTTTTCAATCAATGCCTTTTCTCTTTCCTAGGCAAGACTGGTGTCTTTGTACTTTGATACCAAGAGGTACCAGGAAGCATTGCATTTGGGTAAGTAAGCTGGTAGAAATTAATAAGTCATCTCAGCTAGCTAAATGAATGTATTCTAAACCTGGCTACTCTTATTAATTACTAATTAATAATTTAGATTCTGCCTGCTTCTAAGAAAGATTTAAGGTGGCTTACAGTTCTGCACCTATCATGGGAAACTGATGTTTAAAGTTCTAAGAAACTAGCTAGTTTGTCAAATTTAGAGAACAAAAGGTAGTTTTTAAGTTCACTTGAATTTAGAATAGTAAAACCCATTCCATTTTAATTGAAATTTTTTTCAATATGTATCTACATTTTGCCTATAGGACCCTATTAAATTTCAGATTTAGTTTTTTAAATTGCAAGTGTTTTATTTATTGGCTGTCATATTTACTATGTCTATTTATAATTATACTTAAAATATTTTTTTTTTTTTTTTTTGAGATAAGAGTCTCGCTTTTTTGCCTGGGCTAGAGTGCTGTGGCGTCAGCTTAGCTCACAGCAACCTTAAACTCCTGGGCTCAAGCAGTCCTGCCTCAGCATCCTGAGTAGCTGGGAGTTCAGGTGTGTAGCAGGACGCCCAGCTAATTTTAATTTTTCTATTTTTATTAGAGATGGGGTCTCACTGTTGGACAGGCTGTTCTCAAGCTCCTAACATTAAGCAATCCTCCCGCCTCAGCCACCCAGAGTGCGAGGATTACAGGCATGAGCCACCTCGCCTGGCCCTTTTTTTGAGTTTAGACAGGTTTCTTTATCCTGAGTGTTATGAAGGTGGGAGAATGAGATGTTACAGTATCGAGGTATTAAGATTATGGCTAGCAAAGGAGTATAAATCTTTTCCTTCTTCAGGTTCTCAGCTGCTTCGGGAGTTGAAAAAGATGGATGACAAAGCCCTTTTGGTGGAAGTACAGCTTTTAGAAAGCAAAACATACCATGCCCTGAGCAACTTGCCGAAAGCCCGAGCTGCCTTAACCTCTGCTCGAACCACAGCAAATGCAATCTACTGCCCCCCTAAATTGCAGGCCACCTTGGACATGCAGTCAGGTAACACCCGTAGCTACTCCTGGGATGTGTTTCTTAGAGTGCATCTTATCTTATGGGTAGAAAGAATAGGGGTTGGGGCTGGAGAACAAAACTGGTTGATTTGGCTCAAGTTTCTTCAAAGAAACCAATTAGAAAGTTTACTTACTTTTTTTTTGTTTTTTTTTGAGACAGGGTCTTGCTTTGTTGCCCAGGCTAGGGTGCAGTAGTGTTGTCATAGCTCACTGCAACCACAAACTCTTGGGCCCAAGCTATTCCCCCTGCTTCAGCTTCCCTGGTAGTTGGGACTATAGGCATGTGCCACCATGCCTGGCTAATTTTTGTTTTTTTTGTAGAGATGGGGTCTTATTCTTCCTCAGGCTGGTCTTGATCTCCTGGCATCAAGCAATCTTCTCGTTTTAGCCTTCCAAAGTGCTAGGATTACAGGCGTGAGCCACTGTGCCCGGCCCAGAAGGCTACCTTTCTAACCAGCTGCCTCCCTCCTATTAACTGCCTAAAATATCTTAACATGCTTATCAGTGCTTGACTAGGCAACCTGTTAGAGCCAAACCCTAGAAAGGTCTCACTTAGGCTTAAAAGACTCCCTTGACATTCCTCTTAGCTACTTAGAATGGTAGCATTTCTCTTCAGGATTGGCCTAACACAACTCTGTTGACTCTTGGAGACCTTTGTAAAGTTTATTGGACTTTTCCAAAGGGCCTCAGATCATGGCTTAGGGAAGATACCCCAATTTCAGCTGAGTGTAATACTCAGCTTTCTGATGGAGTCCGTGAATGTTGGGGCTAAGGAGGCCATGGATTGGCAGGTGGAATACTTTTTTTTTTGTATTCAGCGGCTTTTTTACTGGAGGCATCATTATCGAAGGGGCATTGGGATTGGAGGCAGAAGTCTAGTTTAAGCGCTTGTGTTACCTCTCTCATCCTTAAAAGATAATACAATACCTGCCAGACTTGCCTCTCAGGGGTGCTAGGATCAGGCTTTCCTAGGTTGACATTTTGTTTTGCTGATTTCTAAGTGTGTGACTTTGGGCAAGTTACTTAATTTATCTTTAGCTTTATTCTTAGCTCATCTGTAAAATGGTGGTAATAATTGTATTGCCTCATAGGATTGTGGTGAGGATTAAATGAGATGATGAATGTAAAGCTTTTATCAGAGTACTTAGCTTTAACCAATTGCTGGCCCTTCGTTTAAGCCACTGCTCTGGTAAATCTATTCTCTACCTTTTGTGGTCAAGAGAAGAACTTGCATCCTAATTTTCAGAGGAAATAGAAGCCATTCTTATGTTGAGCCCTCTTTACTTTTCTTTGTGCTATAGAATTTGTATCACTATCTGTTTTTACCCCATAATCAAGGGTGATCTTTCTACCTTTTTGTTCCATTCTTGGGCTTTAGTCTTTTTTCTCCTCTCAGATCTTCTTAATCTTTGAGCTACCCCAGCTGAAAACCCACAACCCTTTTTACTTTTTTTTTTTTTTTTTGCGACAGAGTCTCACTCTGTTGCCCGGAGTAGAGTGCCGTGGCGTCAGCCTAGCTCACAGCAACCTCAAACTCCTGGGCTCAAGCAATCCTACTGCCTCAGCCTCCCGAGTAGCTGGGACTATAGACATGTGCCACCATGCCCGGCTAATTTTTTCTATATAGATTTTTAGTTGTCCAAATAATTTCTTTGTATTTTTAGTAGAGATGGGGTCTCGCTCTTGCTCAGGCTGGTCTCGAACTCCTGACCTTGAGCGATCCACCCACCTCGGCCTCCCAGAGTGCTAGGATTACAGGCATGAGCCACCACGCCCTTTTTACTTTTTAAATTACTATTTTCCGCTTTCTGTCATGCTTCTGGAAAAAATTGAAAGAATATCCTTACTTTGGTGTCTTTATTTACTCCTAGAAAGAAGTCAATAACTCCCTTATAATCTCTGACTTTTGGGGGTAATTCAACCTTGTTAGACACCCTTGGCTTCCTTGACATTGTCTTTTTGGTTCTCCCTTGACTGATTATTAGCATTCATGCTTTGCTGTTTCCTTTTCCTTCTGACTGCCCCTTAAGTGTGGGTGTTCCTCAGTATTGCTTTCTTAGTTCTTTTTCCTTCCTGTTCTCCCCGTTTTCTGTCTAATCCCATACTCTCCTATGGCTCTAGCCGCCACATAACACTAATGGTCTCCTCATCTAGATCTCCAATAGCTTCTTTCTTTCCTAAATTCTAGATCGAGATTTCTATCTGCTTAATGGACATATATACCTAAATATTCCATAGGTATCTATCTTAGTCTCAACATATCAAAAACCAAATTTATTCCTAATGTTTCTTTCTGCATGTCCTCTTAGTTAATGGTATCATTGATTCAGCTGCTCAAACTATGGTCTTTGGAGTAATTTTGACTCCTTCCTCTCCTTCATCCCTCATATCCAGTTAGTTACCAGATCATGTTCAGTGTGTCTCCAAGTACGTCTTTTCTTTTCCATCTTTATAAGCTGCTGCTCTAATTAAGGCCTAGACTACTAGAGTCATCTTTTACTAGTCTGGTCTAACTTGTCCCTAGTCACTTTTCCCAATGCATCTTCCTTATTGGCCCCAATGTCATTTTTCTGAAACACAAATCTGATAGTATAACTCCTTTCTTTAAAATTCTCCAATGGTTCTGCATTAACCTCAGCTTAAACTTTAACAGGACATTCAAAAGGAAGGCATTCTTTGGTTTTCATCCTCATTTGTGGTTTTTAGTAAGAGTCACCACATGACTTCATATTCTCTGGGTACTCCATGCTATTTCCTGCTTCTTTGCCTTCGTATATTTATTTTCCCTTCTCTGCTTGGGATTCCCCTTTCACCTGTCCCATGGCAAATTCCTACGCATCCTTCTAGATACAGCTCAGATGTTTCCTCTGTAAACCCTCCTCTATACTTTCTTCTTTGCTTTTGGACTTCCCTACCAAAGGTATATTCCTTTGTACCTATTATTATACTAATCTCTTTGTTTCTGTTTTGGTGACCATCTTTCCCAGCAGACTGTGAGCCTCCTTGAGGGTCTTGTTCATATTTCTTTCTGCTTTAGTAGCTATATCAGTGCCTGGCACATGGTTGGTTGGCCCTCATTAATGTTTATGTTGAATGAGTCTAATTTTTGGTTTTTGTTTTTAATAATAAACCTCATATGCCAATCATGACACTCATAGTGCTTATATAGCCCCTATTTACGAATGTGTTTGGGAAAGCAGTATACCAGTTCTTAAGCCTTATTTTACCTTTTTTTTAAAACCCATACTTATTTTGGGTGTGGCCTATTCTCTACTAGCTCTGTACTGGGAGGTATGGAAAAATGTGTCTCATTTAGTTTAGCAGCATTAATAGTTTGTTGTGTTCTCAAGGGAGTTTTCCTTGGCTGCAGAGAAGGGCAGATTTTCCTCCAGGCTTCTATACTTAAGAGCAATAGTAGAAAAAGGACCTAATTCCTCCAGCCCAAATTGGGAGGCATTTTGGGTAGGGTAAAAGGACTAGCGGATGGCACATATCACTCAATAAGTAGTTAAGTCAGAAGTTCCCAGCTGGCATGCCATGCACTATATGTATGCTTCTGGGGGTTAAAGGTATGCTAAAACATTGATTCCTTGGATCATGTATTAGCAGCTTCATCCTTTTACTCTAATGGGCTAAATACTTTTTACATGTATCTTGATGTGAAAAATGTTCGGAAGCACTGTGGTAAACAAATGGATAGGGCTGGGTACAGTTAGTGCTAATATACATAAGTGCAGAATCTTAGGGCCTAGGCGCTGCTCAATCTAGAGGAACTAATTTTTATGTTATCCCAAGTGATAGCTTAGGTTGGAAGTAATAGCAGGTCCAAAGTTAAGTTCATTGGGAGCAACCCAGATTCTAAATGGTAGAGGGTTGGTTAGGTCAACTATGGCATTTCAGCCTAAAAAAAATACTGCTTAGCCATGTACAGTTAAGTTCATGGATTTGTTTTATGTGAGATCTATATACTGATTGCATCTAGGCAAGAGCATATCCATAAATGACAAATACTTGAAATGAGAATATAAGAGGTTGGATTCCCCCCCTCCCCCATGAAAGCTGCTTAAGTAAAAAATGTCAAGCTTAGAAAAGCTATCTTATCCTAAAGTAGTGGATGTTATTAAAACAGGTCATTCAGGCAGTCTAGGGGTGTTGGGGTCACCTCTTGACCTGCAGAGGTGATGTTATTTGGAGGGTAAACACGGCCTCTTCCAGTGGCTCCAAAAGATAGCACGAGTGGAATGGGGTGAGAAGTGTAGGAGAAAGATGGTATGTGGTTTTTAGGATCCCCTTTGAGTTGAGTCTCTAACTCCTTTGGGAACTTACATTGGCAATATGGCAGTATGACATTGAGCTGGGAAGCCAAAGCCTGGATTCTAATCTCAGCTCTCACTAGCTGACTGTGACTTTGGGCTGGTCCTTTATCCTTTCCTGAGCTCATCAATGAGTTGATGGGGTTGGGGTAGCTTTCCAAGACCCTTCCCAGCTCTTTTATGATTCTGTTGTTTTATATGGTTCTTACTCCTTTCTTTTTAACGCCCAGGTATTATCCATGCAGCAGAGGAAAAGGACTGGAAAACTGCATACTCATACTTCTATGAGGCATTTGAAGGTTACGACTCCATTGACAGCCCCAAGGCCATCACATCTCTGAAGTACATGTTGCTGTGCAAAATCATGCTCAACACGTAGGTGCACAGTAACTCTGGAATATAAGAACTGAAGTCCTTCAGCTAAGTCTGGCTGCCATGGCAGAGATGGCTTGGGCAGGGAGTTTGGCCAGTTAAAGAAGCAGCCACAGCCTCTGGGGCTGGTTGAAATAGAGTGGGAGGATCAGAGGTGTTCCAGCCGCCCTCTTGCTTGCTAGTCTTTTGGTATCAGGGACATGGACTTTAGAAATATCCTTCCCAGCCCCTCTTGAAGAATTCTTGTCGTCCTTCAAATATTCTGTCCTCATAGGCGCTGAGCACAGGACAGAGGGTCAAGAAATAGCTTACAGACTAGCCATTGCCAGCCAGCTGGGTCCCCCAGAATGGGGAAGGAAGGGTAAAGGAGTGGTTTGAAAAAGTAGACAAAGAAAATGACAGATTGTTCCCCAAAGAAGTCCACAGAATTATCCAAATTCTTTTGGGAATAAATGAAATATTAACTAGGACTATCTTTGGATTACATAGGGGCTATTTT